TTTCGTAACTTGGCAATGTTTCTAAGATGGAAGAATGCTGTTTTTGTAACATGGGAAATATGATTTTCAAAAGACAAGTTGTTGTCTAATGTAACACCCAAATTTTTGACTGTAAGTCAAGGCAAGGCAAGTTTATTTACATAGCACATTTCATACACGTCAATGGTAATTCAAAGTGCTTTACATAAAAGAAATGAAAAAAATAAATAAATAAATAATCACAACAATAAAACAAGGAATTTAAAACTTTGAAAATGATTTTAAAATTGATTTAAGAGGTTTAAAATGAATTTAAAACAGTTAAGAATAGAAAATGATTATACATAAAATATAGTGCAATCAGTTCGGACATTGCACAGTGCTCATTCAGTAAATGCACAGCTAAACAGATGAGTTTTGAGTCTGCATTTAAATGTGACTAATGTTTTAGCACATCTGATTGATTTCTTCTGGAAGCTGATTCCAACTGCGGCCGGCATAATAACTAAAAGCGGACTCCTGGGCCTGAAACCTGACTGAAATTCTTCGTAGAGATAAATTTTTTGCAGGAAGGAGCACAATTGAGCAGACACAACATTTTCGAAAATTTTAGACATAAACAGAAGATATGAAATGGGTCTGTAATTTGCCAGTTCACTAGGATCTAGTTGTGGTTTCTTAATAAGAGGCTTAATAACCGCCAGCTTGAATGGTTTTGGGACGTGACCTAAACATAACGACGAGTTTGCTCGGCCCTGGCAGCTTTTAGAGCCTGTCTATAGCTGGACATACTGTTTTTCCACGCAATTCTAAAAACTTCCAAGTTAGTTTTTCTTCATTTGCGCTCAAGACTACGAGTTTCTTTCTTGAGAGAATGGGTATTACTGTTGTAGCATTGCGCAGTACATTTTTCTCTAATCTTTTTCAATTTGATGGGGGCAACAGCTTCTAATATATTAGAGAAGATAGTGTCCATGTTGCTAGTCATTTTGTCTAGTTCATGTGTATTTATGTGTACACAGACCAGTTGAGATAAATCAGGCAGGTTATTTCTGAATCTATCTTTAGTGGTTGGAACAATAGTTCTTCCTGGACGATAACGCGGAGCCATATAGTTAATATCAGTAATATGCAGCATGCACGATACAAGGAAATGGTCATTAACATCATCACTTTGAGGTACGATATCTATATTAGTAAGATCAATTCCATGCGATATAATTAAATCTATAGTTTATTAGGTCAGTAAACGCAAGTCCTAATGCATAATTTGTATTATCAACGTGAATGTTAATATCGCCGACAATTAGCTTTATCAACAATAACCAATAGGTCTGAGAGGAAATCTGCATAGTGCATATGGCCCTGGTGGTCTATACACAGTAGCCAAAGCAAGAGATACGATAGATTTCTTTTGCATATCTGACAGTGTAACATTAAGCAGAAGTATTTCGAATGAGTTAAACCTGTATCCTGTTTTCTAGAGCAAGAGATACGATAGATTTCTTTTGCATATCTGACAGTGTAACATTAAGCATAAGTATTTCGAATGAGTTAAACCTGTATTCTGTCTTCTGAGTAACATTGAGAATATCACTATATATTGTTGCAACACCGCCGCCACGACCAGTCTGACGGGGCTCATGCTTATAACAGTAGCTTGGTGGAGTAGACTCATTTAGACCAATATAATCATTTGGTTTTAGCCAGGTTTCAGTCAAGCAGAGTACATCAAAACTATTATCTGTGATCATTTCATTTACAATAACTGCTTTGGGTGCGAATGATCTATGTTTAGGAACCCAAACTTTAGAAATGGTTTTTGTTCATTTATTTAGCATTTTTCTGGTTTAATCATGATCACATTTTTTCTACATCCTGCATTAAATTTATATTTTGACCTCACTATTTGCAAGTACTTCTATCATTTAAGAGAGTAGAACAAAAGCCATCATAGCAGTTATTTGAGAATTGGCTTACTAGTCATATGGAGCGCAGCGTCCTGGAGATGTTGTCCGACAGGAGTTCCGCTCCGACTCTGCTGGGGTGCAGGCCATCAGCGCGAAAAACCTAGGACGCTCCCAGAAAAGATTCCAATTATTAACAAAGAGCAGTTTCTGTTCTTTACACCATGACAATAACCATTCATTTAAAGCAAAAAGTCTACTGAAACTTTTGTGTCCTCGTCGATATGTGGGAAGTGGTCCTGACATGATGACCGTCGTCGCAGGCGATGTGCTGCGCACCGTCTCGATCAGGCTCCTGAAGTCCCTCTTCAGTGTCTCCGTCTGCCGTAGCTTGGTGTCGTTAACCCCTGCGTGCAGCACGACCGTGCCGATGCTCTCGTTGCCATTCAGGATCGCGGGTATCTGCGCAGAAACATCGAGAATACTTACCCCGGACTTATGAGCGTCAGCCCGGGATGTTTCCAGCGCGGCTCTCCGCTCTCTCAGCTGGGCCTCCTTCTCCACCAGGTTGCGGATCTGCTTCTCCACGGTCTCCAGCTCGAGCTGCACCGAATGCAGCTTGAACATGTCCTCACCTGCACTCAAAGGTAGACACACATCCGCCATTAAAGCAAGTAACAGTGAGTAAAACAATGGTAATGTGTGTGAATAGAGTATTAGCAATGTAAGCGAGATTAGCGGCAACCTAGTCTTGCTTAGCCAGACCTTCAGACTGACGGCTGTTCAGCCAACGGTCTGTGGGCGTGACGTCTGAGACTGAGACTAGCGGCAACCACGCTGGCAATGCTAACGGGCTATAAGCTAATAGCGGACTCGGGAAATCAAAATAAAACTAGTGATAACAAGGCGCTCTGATTGTTTTTGTTGTAGAATACGATAGGGATACACACGTTATAGAAACGGAAATTATGGTTTATAAAATTGATTTTAGGATAAAAAATAGATGATAAAGAATTAACTTGATGGAGCTCAAACTCAAAATGCGGCAGCAACAAACAGGAAGTGACTACATTACTGGAATTAAATAGACAGCCTTTAAAGAAACCAGTAAAAGGCTGTTTTACTGTAAAAAAAAAAATCTGTTTTTATTTACAATTATTTCTTTAAGACATCTTTCTAATAATATAACTGTATTTATGCATAAGTAACAAGTGGCTCAACAGTGAGTATGAGCTAGCTAAGCTTTTAGAACCAAAGGTTAAGTATCCACTTAATAATTCACTTTTTGAGTTTTTTATTTTATTCCCCTTTTGCCACATTTCCCATTTGGGCATGGCGTATGTGGACATGTAAATACAAATACAAATTATTACAATTCATTATTGAATATATTTATTAGTAGAGTATATTGACGACATTTAGTATAGTATATTAACGTTTTATTTTACTTTTTTAAAACCATTTTGTCATGCCATTGTACATGTATTTGCATTATTATTAGGCAAAAACCGAAATACCCAGCAGTGTGGTGTAGGTGTATGTGGGAAATCCCTGTTAGGAAATTGTTCACACTTAGTAAGGAAGCAGGCTTGCTCTCTGTTGCAATTCTTTAGAAACCTTCAACTTGACCTGTTGTGTCTCAAGGGTCAAAGGCTAATGAAAAGCATGTGTGTGACTCTCTCTGGTTTTTCCTTCTGAAGACCCTTTAATTGTACAGAAGCCTGCTGCTTTACTACTTTCCTCTCCATAGTGGTATAGAGGACAAGCCACAGATGCCAGACTGATACAGGGGAACTGCCCCCTGACAAGAGGAAATTAAACTTCTCTGATCCAGTTCATTTAGAGGACACCTCGGACCCATTAGTTTTGAACTTTGGGTCTGGAGTGCATGAGAACTCAGTTCAGTGGATAGTTCCTTTCTCTCTTTAGCAACTATCTAGAGTATGTTAATGGCAGCAGCACAGTGCTCTTATCCACAGTCCAGTCACAGTTTAAACTAAGATCAGCTCTGAGGAACCAAATGGGTCAAGAAGGTGACAAGCACACTTTATGTTTGTTCATGCCTGTTTCTTTTGCCCTGTAGATTTTTGGAGCTGTAATCATGGGCTTTGGACTATGGGTCATCCTGGATAACCAGAGTTTCATCACGGTTTTGCGTAAGTACAAAAACACCAACCTAATTTCCTGTTCTGATGTATGTAATGGTGTCCCTGAGAGTATGTCTTATTAAAACAGGTTACCATCTCCAGGCTGCCATTGGTCAGAAATGCAAAGATTTATGATGGCAGTAGGGGTGTGCGATATATATCGTCTGCGATAATATCGTAATTGTCGTTTTAACGATGTGCGATTTGACATTATCGAGTATTTTGCAAAAACCATTCAAAACGGTAAAAATGCCCATAAAATGTAAAAATCTGTTTAAACTTATTGGAAAAGATTAATTTCTATCAGTATGAACTGACCACCACACAGAATATGAAGAATATTAAAAACATTATGAGTCAGCTGTCTTCGGCAGTCCTTAAGGTACCAGCACAACAACACACTCAGCAAAATATCGTCTAATTATCGTCATCGATAAAATCCCAGAAAATATCGAGATATTATTTTTTTGTCAATATCGCACACCCCTAGATGGCAGCACAAATGATTTCATGCTGGACAATCATAAGTTCATACATCGCAATTATTTTTCTCATAGTTGTATCATTACTTCAGGTCTGTTTCCATTCTGTTCACATAGTACAGGTTAACCTGAATTCGCTCAATTTAATTTAATTAAATTTTTTATTTTTTATTTTTTATTTAATTTAATTTAATTTAATTTTTAATTTAATATTTAATTTATATTTTATCATACATTTTTATATATATGTATATGTATGTAAGTGATGGCAAGGTAAACTTTAAGGGTATGGGCCGTGGCTTAAAGACATTTATCTATTTGGTATATAATATGTGTTTATATATATATATATATATATATGTGTATGTGTGTGTGTGTGTGTGTGTGTGTGTATACTGAAAACTCAGATTTACCATCACTCCAAGGAATAAATTACATTAGTTTAAATTGTAATAATATTTCAGAATATTACTGTTCTTACTATATGTTTGATCAAATAAATTGGTTACACTTTACTTGAAGGGGTGTGCATAAGACTGACATGACACCTTCATAATCATGACATGACACCTACATAATCATGACATGACACATGTCATGAATATGAAGGTTTTTTATGCATGTTTATGACAACTGTCATTAAGTGTCATTCGCTCAGTTATGTAATTTTTAATGCAAATATGACATTGTTTGAGATGTCTTTGTTATGAGCTATGGTTAGGGGTAAGGGTAGGGGTAGGGTTAGGTTAGGGTTAGGTCAAATAATGTCATATTTGCATTAAAAATGACATAACTGAGCGAATGACACTTAATGACAGTTGTCATAAACATGCATAAAACCTCCTGTGTCATGATTATGAAGGTGTCATGTCAGTCTTATGCACACCCCTTCAAGTAAAGTGTTACCAATAAATGCAGCCTTGGTGAGCATAAGATACTTCTTTCAAAAACATTTAAAATTCTTAGTAACTCCAAACTTATTCTGGTTTGGCAGACAGTTAACCGTTATCAGTGAGTCAGACAAAAGTACATATACTACAGACCAGAATAAGTTAACCGTTATCAGTGAGGCAGAGCAATATGTCGCTGATTACACAATTTTCCAGCCTCTTGAGTTCATACTGGTGTTTATTTGATATACATGGGAATGCACCGTGAAAGCAGCTGCTATTCGTGCGTTTGGCGTGGGGAGTTTTCATTTTTTTGCCATTAACCAAGTTTTCCACAAACCCCCTCCTATGCTGCACTCTGTGTTTATACATGCACACATGCGCTCGCACAGATGTTAAGTAAACCATCTGAAGCTCATCGGAGAGGGTTTAAACGGAGAGCGAAAGCAAAATAAGGGAAGAGAGAAATGTTAAATGAATGAGATACAAAAGCCAAACAGAGATTAACTGTATGATTTATGGAGAATCAAACTCGTACCCATACTGCCTCTGTCTGGACAGCCAAAGCCACGGAGACAGGAAAGTGGAACAGGAAAATGAGGGTGGAAAACCAGCGTAAATCCTCTTGATTTATTATTTAAGGCTTCCAAACTGTTCATCACAGATTTGGCACTGAACTAAACTTTAGGCTATTTTAAAGGGATAGTTGAACCACAAATGAAAATTCTCATAATTTACTCACCCTCAAACCAGTGTGACTTTCTGTTTTGGAATGTAATTAAAGGATAATTACTTACTTATTTGGCAAAGAGCTGAGTAATATAAGCAGGAAAATGTTGTTGTGAGATGAGTAAATAATTAGACAAATGATATTGATTTGAGTTTAAATATTTTATTTGCTCATTAAACGTGAAACTTCCATGAAGAAATACAGTTCCTAGCAAGCAGCTTTGAGTCTAGATGAACAAACAAGTTCAAACAAGATAATTTCAATAATTGCAATTTCAAGTTTTCCTTTGTCTTTGGAGTGTTACAAGCTGTAAGTGAATTGATAAGATCCCTAAAGTTGCAAAGACTAAAGTCTCAACACTGTTCCAGAACAGTTCAAACCAAATATTTGTGTGTGTGTGCAACGCATTTTAAGGCGGACTGTTTCCTGGGATAGTAGCTTTCAATGCCGGCTGTTCTGACTCACAGTCTGTAAGTATGTTTTCATATTTAAAGAATTTGCCACTGATGATTCAAACGCGAGTTTTGAGCAGTGTAGAGTAGCGCTTGTTGTTTGTCATTTCGCTGATCACAAATGCAGACATGGTTTTATGGTTATGCGGCGCGAAGCAAAGCAACGCGTAAAAAGACAGTATAAGTCATTATAATCAGTAATTATGTCCCCACTGGATGCAACAAATGCCTCGTTTGTAATGGGTTTTATTGGTTTTGTCTCGTCGCGCCAGGACAAAGCATCACAGTAGGGTAAGGGGCGTAACATATTCGTCACACGCTTGAGGATTTCGGCCAATCACAACGCACTGGATAGCTGGCCAATCAGAGCACACCTCGCTTTTCAGAACGATGAGCTTTGTAAAAATCTACGCGTTTCAGAAAGGCGGGGCATAGAGGAGAAACAATAATGTATAGTATGTGGAAAATAATGTTTTTTGAACCTTAAACCGCATAAACACATTTCATTACACCAAATACACAAAATAATGTTCTTTTTAGCAACGTCATATGAGCCCTTTAAATATTTTCATAAGACCAAGCTACCAAACCAATTCCCTCAGTCAAGATGGAAGTTTAGAGAAGTCTATATATAGCACATGCTCGGTTAAATTACTGCAAGCGAATATTTATGTGAAGTTCACCAGCTCTAAAATTGTTTGCCAAGCTAGTCACACCGCCATTCTTTCCTCTCCCATCTCACCTCATATTTTACATCTGTCCCCTGTTTATCTATTCCAGCGTCTCCAGATATCGCAGCGCTGGAGTCTCTGTTATCGTGACCATTTTAGAAACATTGTTTTTTTTTTTTTTCAGATTCAGCTGTTCCTCTGGAGATAGCAGGGAATATCTTAGGATATCCTCATACTTGGAGACCCTCAACTTTGCCCTTGCCTTTTTGATAGCACAAGGTCCAGTAGTCCCGTGTTTTACTCTAAGGGTTCTGTCATGGTCGCTCCCACGCTGCGCTGCACAAGGAGTTTGTTTGTTGACTTTGTTAGTCTGTGGTTTAGGGCCCTATTGAGCTCGAAAATAACGGGAAGGTGTGTTCTCTGATCTCAGCTGTATTTTCTTCCCTTCCTCCCAGGTTGTTTTTAATAGACTTCCACACAACTGCATGGCTATAAAAGGGCGTCTTAGGAGTTTTCTCATTATCCAGATTGTTGTGATCTCATCCCTATTCTTTACGTAAAGGTTTTATTTCCTTTTCAAATGGCACATTCATTTGTGCAGTAGAGTTATACAACTTAACACCCAGAACATGTTACAGCATGAGTCAGTGTTTGGTTGTTTGGAGACTGGTATGTCCAACTATGTGCAGGGTTCCAAAGTTAAATCTAAATGCAAGAAATAAACAAGTACTTGCGCTTTAATATTGATGACAAATAAAATATCTAATTCTTTGGTGTATTTACCTTTCATAGCGTATAAATGGTGCTTGAAAGGTCAAAGCAAATGGTTTCGGCTGATGGCATAAAATCGTATCCCTTCCAAGGTTATTTTTCCAGTAGAAACCACTGCCGGGGCTGTTGGGACTGCATTTTTGCAGATGTAGAGGAGTGTTTGCAACAGTACCTTGAGAACGTCGTGGCAACTCCTGTATGAGCAAACACACGGTGAGGTTGTGGAAATTTTAAATGTACCAGATGTTATGCTTTAGGCAGGAAGCATATGTTTTGAAATGTGACGCAGAATTCTTGCTTGAGTTGAGAGGTAATCTACCGACCATTTATTATTCTCAGTTTATAAAACAAAATAGTTATCTATCACAACCGTGATGTCACAGTTTTGCTTTTAAGGTCGTACCAGGGCAAAATAACCTCATAGTTTTGGGAACTGGTGTTTGTTTTAGATGAATTTATGTACTGACGGACTGAATATTGGAAGAAAGGCTGTGAATATTTTACTGTTAGATCTGTCAATCAATAAAATTATATGCTGATTAATTCATGAAAAAAAAAGAATGAAGAAAAGTAAGTCTTGTTCCTTTTTTGTGATTCTTTTTTCAGGATAGTTAATGAAAGACATTAATTCAAAATAGAAATCCTTTTAACAATATACACAACCATTTAAAAGTCTGGGGTCAGTAGCCAAGGTTTTTTGTTTTTTTTTGTTTTAAAGAAATTAATACTTTTATTCAGCAAGGATATGTTAAATTGATTAAAAAAAAGTGATAGTAAAGACTTGTACTGTTACTTTATTTTGAATATAATGAATATCTCTCTCTATATATAGAATATATTCTATTTGCTGTTGAAATATATTCATTTACACAGTGCCTGTCATAACTTGATTCATAAAATATTTATTTAAACATGTTCAATAATTAAGACATCACTAACAGGTAAAGTAAAATATAATCAGTATGTAGTCTAATATTTCATGAAATGCTCTTTTCTAAACTAACGAGCTGTGGTCACTGATGACCTGCCTGAGGTTACACCCCTATTAAGAAGCAAAACAGTTTCCAACATTGATAATAAGCATATTAAAATGATTTCACAAGGATCATGTAACATTGAAGGCTGTAGTAAAAGCTGATGAAAATGAATCGTTTCCAGGTTAGAATAAAATAGAAAACCATTATTTTAAAAATATTTCACAATATTACAGTTTTTACTTTATTTTGATCAAATACAGCTTTAATGAGCATAAGAGACTTTAAAAACATTAACAATCATTCTGATCTTACTTTTGAACAGTTCTATCTATCTATCTATCTATCTATATACACACACACACAACATTTAAAATATATATATAATAAATTGCACTAAATCAGTATGTTCAATTGACAGCTCTACTTCCTACACACATGCTAGAGATATGTTTTTGTGGTTTCTTTGAGGATCACATGGTTATAGAGGACTTGATGGTTCTTCAGAGCCACACGCCACATCTCTTTGTCCTCTTTATCTATTAAAGAATCTTGAAAAACAACTATAAGCAGCCAAACTCATTTCTGCTGTGAATTGCAAGAGGCTATGCACTCATTGTCTGTTTTGTGCAGACTATACTTTTCGATCTCTTGACTGTTAGTTTCAGATCTTTAATTACTCAAATGCTACTGGTTTGTATGAAGCTAAGGATAGCAAGAACAACTTGTTAACCACGTAAGCTGCACAGATCAGCACCAACTGCTGTACCACTGTAATAAGGGACTTCGACATTAGAATGCATGATGACAAAAGTTTCCAAATGACTAATCTTAAAACCACATTTATATACTGAGCAACTACAGAAGCCTAGAAGGCTTGTTGTGTTTTGCCATACTGATAGAAGTGATAAAAGTTGGTTTGCCTTTTTACTTGGTCTTACTCAAATAGTGAAATGAATATTAATCTGTCTGAAAGCTTTGCAAATACCATTATTAGACACATAAAATTCAGTTGGCATAAATCTAGGTTACACTGTTTAAAAATATTGATAAGGTATTTTGATAAGAGAAGTGTTATGACATGGTAATTATTTTCACTTACTACACCAACACCTTTTTTTAGACAGTGTTTTCATGTCAAAGTGACATCTTCCTCTGCACACATCGGAAATTGAGCTGCAAAGCCTGAAGCAAGACTGTAGCTGCAGAAGAGAAAGAAATGAGCGCTGAAAATCTGCCATGTACACTCCCCTTTCCTCACAACCTCGGTTTCATTTTCAGCATCTCCTAAACTTAAAATTAGGGCTGTTTTGCTAGTGTGGTTTTAATTGTGTTTGTAGTGTTAGATCAAATAATAATCACTAAAGAGAAGTGATCTTGATTCATTTTCAGCATCTAAACATCTGAAGGTTTTTTTTAATGTACTTTTTCTATTAAGTTGGCATTGTCAGAGAGTGTGACTATTGTTTTCTGTCTTTGTTGTTCATGCAGATGAGTCCTCCACAACGCTGAAAGTTGGCACCTACATCTTGATCGGGATTGGATCTCTGTCAATGCTTATGGGCTTCCTGGGCTGCATCGGTGCTATTTATGAGGTCCGCTGCCTGCTTGGACTGGTAAGTGATTTATGGAGTATTTTATTATTATTTTTTTTTATATAACGCATATTTATTTATATACATAATATTGTGACTGACTACATCAAAGCCAGCATGTTTTGGTCTCTTGGCTATTATAAGTATTTTATTTTATTTTATTTTTTGTAAGGTGCATATTTATACATAATATTACTGCTGACTATATTAAAGTTTGTTTTTGGTATGTATATATATATATATATATATACAGTGGGTACGGAAAGTATTCAGACCCCCTTAAATTTTTCACTCTTTGTTATATTGCAGCCATTTGCTAAAATCATTCATTCGAATGCAAAAACGTTGCATTCAAATTTTAGGTAGGCGTTAAGGAGGCAGCCTTATCAGTGGCGCACAAGATGCGATGACGATGTAAGGGTCATTGCATTATAATGTTTTTGTTAACCCAGCGGTTCTCAAACCTGTCCTGGAGTACCCCCTGCCCTGCACATTTTGTATGTCTCCCTTATCTATCACACCTGATTCAATTCATCAGCTCATTAGTGGAGACTGCAAGACCTGAAGTGGGTGTGTCAGATATAGGGAGACATACAAAATGTGCAGTGCTGGGGGTACTTCATGGAGAGGTTTGAGAACCCCTGTGTTAACCTATCCAGTTGAAGCCACTAGATGCGGCGCTGCTGCATTGTTCATTAAAAATATTGCGGAAAAAGAGAACATCAATGCGGAGAAGAGCTTGTTTAAATCAAAACTGAAACGAAGCCGTTCACACAGAACACATATTTCGCGCATTTTCTAGAGGGACATCTATCACCGTTGCACTCGCATCTCGCACAAAGGAGCCGCATGTTTAGAAAGCTATGTAAAATTAATGCAAGTGTAACTTTGAAAAAGAACATATATCGAGACTTTATGGCGGGTTTTTTTCCCCATCCCACTGCATCTCATGTTTTTAAATGAAAAATGTACTCTGTGTGATT